TATCAATTTTTTCTATTGTGCCGAACTTATTTGTAACTTCCACTGTACATTTTCCTTTTTCTGGAAATTTGTGGAAAGATATTTCCCGATTGTCAGAAGCGAGAGATTTACAGCCGTACACACAACAGTATTCGTGGTTAAAAACTTTCCTTTTTGAAGAAATCACTTTCATTTTGTATCAACAATTTTTTTACAGTCTACACTAATACATTCAGACACTCCGTGAGAATAGTGACTGTACTTTTATACACGTTTTACGTATTTTTGCAATTTTATCAACAAAACTTCGTGAGCATACATATGTCTCGCTACAAACTAAAGAAAAAGGGTCTAAAAGATCGGTTACACCCTGAAAAGTATTCTTTGTAGTTCTCAGATGTGTAATTTTTTTGGAATTTTTAATTCCATTTTAAATGACGGAAAAAAATCACCGACGCAACATCAAAAAAACGATGAAATCGAGGGTTTTCGGGATCCGAGTCTCGGACTTTGACGGCGCGTGCAAGCCAAACGACTGACTTGACGATAAATGTTGTTCAGATCATTATTGTAGATAATTTTACGCTCTACAAAAAAGGTACGTATAGTTAGTTACCCTATCTTGCTTAGTTTTCGAGATATTTGAGAAAAGATAAAAAAAATCGCGTTTTTTGTTGATAATATTGTTAATAACTTTGTAATGCGCATGCGCATTGCAAAGCAAAATAAATCCCACTTACAGCACCTCAAATCAAAGCGATTCACGGTGGTTGCAACCTGTGAAGATTAATTGGAAAGTTCAATGTCTAATATGACTGGCCTAACAGAAGTTGTACAGTTTGTATGTACAAAATGAGATACACGCACCATTCGTATAATGTAAACAAAGAATACTGTACATAAAAAACTAAAATTAAAAACGTAACAAAAAAGCAACTTTCACTACTTGTTTGTTGTGGTGACACTACGGACGCTGTGTTTCAACCTTGGCGGAAGGTTCGATCGTCAAGGCAAAGGTCACTTTTCAAATTAACGACTTCGTTAGTTAGCTCAACAGATAATTTATTCCAATTAGGCGGAGGCGAGCGATACTGGACGCTGATGTGAGGCGTGCGAGTCGTCGTAGGCTGGTGGAGGCGCGCACTGCACCGGCGGATTAAAGACGGATTTGTTCGACACGGAAACGAGCACGGGCGTTCGTGAATTAACGATAACGGGCGCGTCGTGGTTTCTGGAGCTCTGCTGAACGGGCTCGCGCGTTGAAAATAGGCACGTCCGTTTAATTTGCGCAACGCGGTTGCAACTCCGGAGGCAGACAGTTCTTTCACACAGGGTGTAGGCAGTAGGTTGTCTACGATTACGATTATCAACTCGTTCGGATTGCGTACGAATAGAAAGTAGTTGCCCGGCACGAATTCGAAGCGTTTCGTGTGGTAGCTAATTGCCGACTCGACTTTCGAGAGCGACGCACATGTCGATCGTCGGTGATCGCGCAAACTTGACTATTTCGGTGGGAGGGGAATTCGCACGTGTAACGACGGGCCATGCGGTCCAATAACGAGAGGGCTTATCGCGACGCGACGTTGCTCGCTGATTCCGGAACATACCGCCCGCCTCGAATAAATACATTCGAAATTATTATTTTACAACATATGTCACAACGGGGAAAATAACAAAAATGTGTCAATTAATGAGTGGTGCCGCCCGCCATGGCGGAATCTATGGGCTGTTCGTTGTTGATGTCCACCGGGAGGAAGCACAGTTTAGTTGTGGGGCGCTTGTACTCCGACCGACTCGTCCTCACGGTGACGACTCGGGTCAAACCGTCTTCGCCTGGATGACACACGGTTATGCGCCCGAGTTCCCATTGGCTCGGCGGCGCGAGCGGGTTGCGAATGAGGACGATTTGACCCAGTGTGGCTAATCGCTGAACGGCGCGCCATTTCGGCCTTTGCTGAAGGGTGTGCAAGTAATCGTGCGACCAAGACTTCCAAAAACCTTCGGTAATTCGCTGAGCCAACTGCCACCGAGACAGTCGGTTTTCGTTAATGTCAAGCACGCTAGGCTCGGGCGAAGCCACAAGGGAAGCGCCTACTAAAAAATGACCGGGGGTCAACGCTTGATAGTCGTCGAGATGTTCGGAGATAGCGGCGAGAGGTCGCGAATTTAGGCATGCCTCGATGCGGCAGAGGATCGTTGTCATTTCTTCATAGGTAAGTGTATGAGACCCGATGCATCGCTTTAGGTGGTGTTTGACACTTTTGACACCAGCCTCCCAGAGACCGCCAAAATGTGGCGCGGCCGGAGGCAGGAAATGCCAGGTCGTTTTTTCGCTAGCGAAGCGATTGAGGAAGTTCGGTTCGCGAACGGCTTTATAGTAGGCGTCGGATAACTGCCGATCGGCGCCGTGAAACGTCGTTCCGTTGTCGGAATACATGTGCTGAGGCAAGCCTCGACGCGATACAAATCGATGGTACGCTGCGGTGAACGTCGCTGCGGTGTAGTCGCTGACAAGTTCGAGATGTATGGCCTTGGTTGTCAAACATATAAACAATGCAATGTACGCCTTATGAGATTTCTGACCGCGACCGGGGGCTGTCCGTATGGCGATGGGCCCTGCGTAATCGACACCCGTATGCAGAAAAGCCCCTGAGACCCGATTTACTCGCATCTCCGGTAGCTCACCCATGAGTTCGTTTGACACTTTGGCCGCTGCGCGGGCGCATCGGACACACTTGTGTAGAACGAATCGAACCGTAGCGCAAGCACGCAGTATCCAAAATTCCGTGCGTAAGGACGCGAGAGTGAGTTGGGAACCCCCGTGCATTGTGCGGAGGTGGTGGTGCTCGATGATGAGAGTTAAAAGCGGATGTGATCGAAGGACGATGGGATGCTTCATTGTTTCTGGGAGGTTAGACTTTTGGAGCCGGCCGCCGACGCGGAGCAGGCCGTCAGAGTCAATGTGCGGATGCAAGGATCTAAGCGGGCTGGCTTTCGGCAGCGCAGTTTTGTTTCTGAGGCTCGCAATTTCGTCGCGAAACGTATCGTTCTGCATTGATCGCAGCCAATAACGCTTTGCGTCCTGAATGTCGTCGGTGCGAAAGAGTGGGGGGCGAAGGTCGCGTGCTGCCTCGGCCTCGCGAGACTGGTTGCGGATGCGTGCCCGCCTGACGAAGCGAAGCATATACGCGGTAACTCGTAAAAGTTTCGGCCAAGATGAGAACCGAGAAGCGAGATCCCACGGTTCCGAGGGGCTTAGAACGCACACGACTGGTTGAGGTCGTGCTTCTGGAATGCCGTCCGTAGCATCATGAGCGGCTGGGAGATCGCGAACGGGCCAGAACTCGGGTGATTCTTTCAGCCACGACGGGCCGGTCCACCATAACGGATGTAGCTGAATCTCGTCGGGAGCAAGACCGCGCGACGCGCAGTCCGCAGGATTGTCGTGAGTGTTCACATGACGCCAAACCACCTCGGGGAGTGCCGTCTGAATTGCCGCGACCCGGTTGGCGACAAAAGTTTTCCAATGAAAAGGAGATTTGCTAAGCCATGCCCGTACGATGTCCGCGTCTATCCGACAGTGGCAGTCGCCCAGCGGAATTTGAAGGGTGGTGCGGACGAAATGCATGAGACCCGCGAGGAGATGCGCGGCAAGTAATTCTAAGCGAGGCACAGTGATAATTTTTAGGGGAGCTACTTTTGATTTTGCTATGAGAAGCGAGACGGTGACCGAGCCATCGACGTGCACCGTTCGAAGATAAACGGCGGCAGCGTAGGCTTTTGTGGATGCATCGGAGAACCCGTGTAGGGCGAGATGCAAGGTGTCGGCGCCTTGCTTTGTCCAGCGGGGTATTTGGACTTGATTCACGCACGGAAGCTTTGAATGATATGATACTTATGGACGGAGATGAGTGTCCGGAATCTCATCGTCCCAATTTATTTTTAAAAGCCAGAGCTGCTGCATAAAAATTTTTGCGGTGACGACGACCGGGGCCACCCAGCCGAGCGGATCGAACAGTTTGGCAATAGTTGAGAGAATGGCGCGTTTTGTTGTGCCGGGATTTTGGGTAGCGACTTGAAATTGGAACACGTCCTGAGGCGGATTCCAGGCAATCCCGAGAATTTTGAGATGCTCATCGTTCTGGAGAACTTTGGGACTCGCGAGGCCATGATCGGAGGGATCGAGGTCGGCGATGAGCTCCGGACAATTACTTGCCCATTTTCGGAGACGAAAACAACCTTTGGCCAATAGTGCATTTACTTGATCCCGGGTTTGACGCGCGAGAACTTTGTCGTCGGCGCCGAAAACACAGTCATCGACGTATGTTTCTTCGAGTAGGACGGGAACCGCGAGAGGGAATTGCGATCCCTCGTCGGCGGCGAGCTGCTCTACGGAACGAATGGCTGCAAAGGGAGCATAGGCACAGCCATACGTGACGGTTAGCATCCGATATTCTTCGACGGGATCCGAAGGAGAGCGACGCCATAAAATGCGCTGATAATCTGTGTCGCGAGGGTCAACACGGATTTGCCGATACATTTTCGCTATGTCGGCGGTAAAAACATATCGGTACTGCCTCCATCGGAGGATCACGACGACGAGATCACGTTGGAGTTTTGGCCCGATCAGGAGGTGATCGTTTAAGGAGGTGCCATTTGTGGTTCGCGCGGAGGCGTTGAATACAACGCGGAGACGCGTTGTTTCGCTGGTGGCTCGTACTACGGCGTGATGCGGAATGTAGTATCGTTTAGTGACGTGAACGTCGAGATCTTCCGGGGGGATCTTGGCCATGTGGCCGAGCCTTTCGTACTCGTCCAGGAATTCGCGATATTCGGAAGCGGTGGTCGGCTCACGTTCAAGACGGTGTTCTACGCGCCTGAGACTCGAAAGGGCGGCGAAACGGGATTCGCCTAACTGAGAAAGGCCGCGTTTGAATGGTAGCCTGACAACGTACCGTCCTTCAGGCGTGCGAGTGTGCGTGGTTGCGAAATGTTCCTCGCATTGGAGTTCCTCGGGACTCATGTGAGCTTTCCGGGGAATGTCTTCGACCTCCCAAAAGCGACGAAGGTCGGAGTCGAGGTCATCGAAAACGGTTCCGTGATGGATTTGCACGGATTCACGGGGAAGAGAGGAAGGAGGGGAAGCAACGGGACCGGAGAGTATCCAGCCGAGTGTGGTATTCTGAGCAATCGGCTCATTTTCGGCACCTTTCCGAACTCCCTCCAAGAGTAAGAAACCGAATAAATCGGCACCGATAATTAAATCGATCAGGTCGAGATTCATGGGTTCGCTATCGGCGAGCTTGAGTCCTGTGATATGCTTCCATGAACGCATGGAGTTGACACGGCTCGGCTTATACCGAGTGAGCGATTTCATGATGAGCGCGGTTGTCGAATAGGCGGGCCCATCGCACGACGTGGGAGTTAATGTGATTGTAACAGCGTGGCGTATGATGGATTTGGTATCGCCAATGCCCGTTACGCATACGGAGCGTGAGATCTTCGGTAATCTCAGGCATTGAGCGATCGACTCCGTAATCAAGGTAGCAGCAGACCCTTGGTCGAGAAGGGCTCGAATCGTGACCGCACGGCCGTCCGATGAATGCACGCGAACGCGCGCGGTGGCGAGTAGAATTTGCGAATTCGGCGACACGGTTTGCGAGACTGTATGTGACGCGACTTCACTTTCGATTTTTTCGATTGCCGCTACCGTGACTGCGGATTCTGCTGGTTCGGTTTCATCGTTTTTGACGGACGCATCGAGATGCAACAAAGTGTGGTGTCGCTTAGTGCATTGCTTGCAGTTGCGGGAGCTTGTACAATCTTTGACCGGATGCTTTGCGCTGAGGCAATTGAAGCAACGCTTTACTTTTCGGATGAAATCGGCACGTTGAGCCGGTGTTTGATTTAGAAAGGTGGAACATTGGTACAACAGGTGACTTGTTTTGCACAGAGGACAAGATAATGTCGCGGTCGACGCCGCGTGTGATGCGAGAGCTTTATTTTTCGGTTTAGAAGACTCCGCGACCTTGGGAGTCACGGGCACGATAGCCTCTAGCGCGCGAACTCGCGATTCGAGAAATTGATCGAGTTCTGTGTATTTAGGATACTCTGCCGTATCCCCGAGCTTGAGTTCCCACGCCTTTCTCGAGAATTTATCAAGTTTTTGCGCAACGAGAAATACTAATACGTCATCCCAATGTTCCACCGGACGCCCTAAATTTTGTAAAGCTTGTATCGCGGCGTTCGTTTGATCGCGGAGGTTCCGAAGGTCTTTGGAAGTTTCGGAGACCAGCGCCGGCAGCTGGAGCAGCGTTTGTAAGTGCCCGGTAATTAGACGACGCTTATTATCGTACCGCGATTGCAGGATGTCCCACGCGACCACAAAATTTGCTTCGGTAATTGCGAGATGAGTCAACACGTTACTTGCGTCCCCTTTTACACACGAGCAAAGATAGTGCATGCGGTCGACATTAGAAATGGTGGCATCGTTACGAACCAGGGAGGTGAAGCGATCTCGAAAACTTTCCCATTTGTCAAAGCTGCCGTCGAACGTCGGTAAGTTGATCCGTGGCAAGTGAGAGGACGGACGGAATGAGTCAGCCAGACCGCTTACGTTGATCGTTGAGTGGTGGGGTGGCTGGGGTTCGAAGGTGGCCAGCACCTCTGCCATGAAGTCCGCAGCCTCGTTGTAGACATCCTCGCAGTTCTCGAACAGATGGTTTTGAAAGTACGAGTGAGAGGCTTTCAATTTATCGTCGGCATAGAGAACGAGTTTTCCATCGAGCTCCTGACAATTAGCGAATGTGTCTTTGAGACCGGCGAGTCGCTGTCGAGTTACGGCTTGCGTCATCTTCGCTTGCCCGAGCTTCTTATAGTTGGCCAGCGCTCTCGATATTTGCCCCATGAGCTGAGTTTGCAAAGCGAGAAGTTCATCGCACGATGACATGGTGATTGGAATACACAACAGGTTACAGAGCGGGAAAGTCGCTAACTTTCGTTCTCCTTGACGTCGATCCGGCTCGAAGGACCAAAATGTTTGTTGTGGTGACACCACGGACGCTGTGTTTCAACCTTGGCGGAAGGTTCGATCGTCAAGGCAAAGGTCACATTTCAAATTAACGACTTCGTTAGTTAGCTCAACAGATAATTTATTCCAATTAGGCGGAGGCGAGCGATACTGGACGCTGATGTGAGGCGTGCGAGTCGTCGTAGGCTGGTGGAGGCGCGCACTGCACCGGCGGATTAAAGACGGATTCGTTCGACACGGAAACGAGCACGGGCGTTCGTGAATTAACGATAACGGGCGCGTCGTGGTTTCTGGAGCTCTGCTGAACGGGCTCGCGCGTTGAAAATAGGCACGTCCGTTTAATTTGCGCAACGCGGTTGCAACTCCGGAGGCAGACAGTTCTTTCACACAGGGTGTAGGCAGTAGGTTGTCTACGATTACGATTATTAACTCGTTCGGATTGCGTACGAATAGAAAGTAGTTGCCCGGCACGAATTCGAAGCGTTTCGTGTGGTAGCTAATTGCCGACTCGATTTTCGAGAGCGACGCACATGTCGATCGTCGGTGATCGCGCAAACTTGACTGTTTCGGTGGGAGGGGAATTCGCACGTGTAACGACGGGCCATGCGGTCCAATAACGAGAGGGCTTATCGCGACGCGACGTTGCTCGCTGATTCCGGAACACTACTAATAAAATAAATACGTTTATTGACTCCCCTCAGAGTTGCAAGGCATTTTATAGGGACGTTCCCAACCCTTTATTTAATTTTCATTTAATACTACCCTTCTCCTCTCACTTAACTTTTTGGACCAACGGGTTAACGTCTCTTTCCGAAAGACGAAGCCCAGTTTGCTCCGCACAAGAGCCTATCTTGCACGGAGGGCGCAGCTTTCGGAAAAACATTTCATGTTTACATGACTCTAATGGACTTGAACCTGGTTCCTCAGATTACGAATCTGACGCTCTACCACTAGACCACACTGCCGCACTAACTTTCACTACTATTTTGTGCAAAAGCACATGCAGGTTGATAGGATAAGCAGTATTGCGTGTAGCGAGAGATGGCGCAGCGATCGAATAAAGACAGATATAGAGAAAACAGGATTAGAAATGTTAGCATTATTGACATCGAGGAAGTTCGGCCTTCGTTATAGGATAATAATGCTTCGATATAGGATAATAATGCTTCGATAATGTCAACATTTCTAATTTTGTTTTTCCTATATCTGTCTTTGTCTAACAAAATGACATCTGTTTTTGTTCGATTGCTGCGCCATCTCTGCTTACTAGCCTGCGTGTATATTTTTGTGGAAAATATACACGATTTCTTCAAAGCTCTAATTTTTTTTCCAGGCTTTCAATCTCAATTTCAACGGTACGTTATTGTTTGTGCACGTATTCTGAAGAGTGGGAACATTTCATTTCGTACATATAACTTATACAACTGTTTATATTAGAAAATATGGTTATGAGGTGACAGCATTTTTACATTTTTTTCAATTATCACTAATTTTTTATATTTCCACTCTTTATTAGTACCTATACTTTACTCCTGTATTCGTTTTCTATCATTTTCTATATTACCGGCCTATATCTACCCTTGTCTAACGAGAGGCAT